CGGCTCGTCACACATTCCCAGCGCCGCCCGCAGCGGCGACGCGGCCACACTGTAAGTGTTCAATGTGGTTTTAAAACAAACGTTCTACTCATCATTTTAAATGTACGTGAAATAGTTACGTTCTATACTTTAGATTTTTTTAATCGATAACGATCAATCGATCCTTCGACTTTTATGTACAGTGTTAAGTGATAATTTTTTTAATTAAGATTTGTGAATATGTACTCGAATATCACTGAAAGTGCGATTTTGAATCGTACAATTATTTCTTTACGCGAGTTTATCGCCCGTTTCTATTGTAAATACAAACTCGAAAGTGTTCACTTTATAAAATTGCATTTAAACCGCTAATGTTGCATGATAGAGTAATGTCGCCGCAGTTCGCAGTCGTCCGGCGCGACTTTTCTTTAAATATAATATTTTCTATTTGAAATTTTTCAATTCCATCTTACAGAAAGGATACTATGAGCCATTTTTCGCTTCCAATTTTTACAAGATAATTTGTAAATGATTTCTACATTTGAATTATAAATAACCAATTTTTATTAATTGGGCTCCATACATAAAAGTATGTTATTGGTGATTTGGCTGCAAATACCCGTCTTTTACGTTATATAAAAAAATACAATTTAGAGGTTGTTACACCAAATTACTTTACTTATGTTTTTAATGCTAATGTCGTGAAATTTGCTACAAAAAATTCAAAGTTTTTAGCGAAAAATCTTATGTTTCCTATCTGTAACATCGGCTATTTTTGTACGCGATAGTACTTTAGTCCATTTCAGCGATTGCTCAAGTGCAGAATAGAAACATCGGTCTTTCCCCGGCCGGTGTCAATTGTCCGCCACAGAAACTGAGCACACGCTTTATAAAGCATTCAGACCATATTCCTTTTTAAATTTTTAGATATATCGTTGTAAATACGAACAGATGGTGATTGTTGTTATTAAAAATAAAACTTCTTTATAAGCTTTTGTCGCAAAACATATCCTTGTGAGTGTATGTCCGAAATCCGAATGCGAGGCCCGTTTCTTGTTGTGGTCATTTTTCTATGCGTTAATTGACAATATGTTGTTTTTATTGTTTCCAAACTTGTAAAGTATAAATGCATTTGGTAGTAGAACTACAACCTAAATGATGCTACTAGTTAGTTTTTAAGTTGGTACATTGAGACAAACCAGTGCTCGCCGTGTTATAATGGTTCGTGATTATTGCCGTCGCAGTACAGTCAGCGTCATCTGACGTAAACAAGAATTAAAAAAAAAATATATCCTTATAAAATCTGTGTTTAGACAATTTTAATTAAAATATATTGTTCCAAACTAAATATACGTTTATCATGACAATATGACAGTATAAAATGCCTTTTGACGTTGACTGTACTTTCTACTTGTGCACAATAACATTAAAGCTAAATCCGATGACGTCACAGTGTCAAGTTGCGTCTCGTATTTTATAGTATCAATAGCCAGCCCGTCTAAACTTTGTCGCTCAGTGTACAATGTTATACAGGGTGTTGATTTTTTATGTTATTGTGCACATTTTATAATGCATTATTTTTTGTACATTTTTCTCCTGTATATTGTATCTTTGTTTTAGGAAACATTGCGAGTACGTTTAAATATGTATGTGTGTTTTTTATGTTTTGTTAATGCTCATTATATTATTGTTTTAAGAGTCTAGTCATCATTTTCAAATGAAGCAGGCACTTCTTACTGACTCCCACCCCTTTACCAACCCCTGCGGATATACTTGCATTTGGAACATGTACAAAATCCAATACAAATTATTTTTCACTGTTATATCTGCGAAATTATATTGAAAATAGTTTTGTATATTTTGTTGGATGAATTGTTTTACGCGATGAAACTTTTAAAATGACGTTGATTTTAAAATAATATGACATATAAAGAATTATATTGTTTCAAAGAAAATTCGATAGTTTATTATGTATACTAATTGTGATAAAAAATATGCACAACATAATTCATAGTGACGCCTAATCTGATATATTTTTTCTTAGTGGTTTTCATAATTTTTTAAAAAAATAAAGATCCATAATAATTACAACATAGGATGCAAGTGATATGACTGTTAATAACATAACGCTTTTACCCCACAGGGTAAGTAGAGACTATAGATTACAATGTCTTGATTTCTTTGAAATACAATTTCTAATGAATTCTCTTTTTTACTACTGTCTATCCTATGTTGAAATATGTATGGAATATAAGCAAGTTTCTGTTAAATAGAAAAGTTTTGTTTATGACATTTTATTCATTATAATTATGGAAAATTTTACACAATGCAATGAAACTAGTTCATGTTATTTTAGTACAAATGAATTGTATAATTGTTTATTGCCGTTACGTTGGTTAAAACTGACGCCGAAATTTATTTTTTATTTAGAAAAATAATTGTACTGACCTCTGTAAATGGACAGGTTATAAATTACTGTATGTTTTGTCTATTTGATCAACTAATAATAGTGAGAGATTTATCTGTTAATATCAAAAGACCTGTTTAATTTGTACCAAAACAAAAGCTGTCGTTGTCAAAAATTCGCCTATCCATTTATATTGATCAGTGTATTGGCTCTGCGATTAAAATTATGCATTCAAGAGATGTGTAGGCTTTTTTGTTTTGTTTTTGTACTATGGAGCAACTGAATTAAAAACATTGTTATCATTGTTGTTTCAGTAAATTGATGTTTTCTTTTTATGTCATTTTTATTGACACTTAAATATTTTGGTTAAAAATTTTAACAATTTTGTAGCCTTTTATGTTTATCCTATACAACATTGAAATAAGCCTACATATATCTAGTTAAAATTGTATTTCGATTGCTCGATGCCATATTGATTTTGTATCATATTTTTGTATAAATTCGATTTTTTACCTTTTGCATTTGAAATGTAAGGTTTAAGTTAGCTAACACTATGGTGGCAACATACAGGTACATAGAGTACAGGAGAGGTTTAAGAGCAGATCCATAGTCAGAAATAAAAAAAATGCAAAAATCATAAAGAAATTTCTTAGAAAGCAAAACGTCAAGGACATTAATGTCCAACCCATTTTCATAGTCATTTGACTTTCACAATGCAACGTTTCTATCATAACGTTTTGTGGTACTGTATTCGATCCTAACTGGAAAGAAAATTTATTTATTCTATACGAATGATTCGTTAAGGAAAAATGTTGCAACAAATTCATTGACAGTTGTTGGTGAGCTCTTTTGGGTTACCCAAATAAGCGTAAATTAATTCAAAACCTTTGTACCCTACATAGTAATTTATTGCTTGCTTGTGTTGTTTAATAAAAATTAATTAAGAGATAATAAAGTATGAAATAATAATTATCCATCTTAAGGGAAACCCCCGTATGTTATGTCTCTTACTACGGGTCTGCTCTAACCCTCGAAGGCGTTGTATCAAATGGTGCGAAGTATTTTCTACTAATTCTGTTATCTATTCTTTATATTTGTATGACATTAAATGTAAGTAAGCCATAAAATGTTTCCTTCTCAAATTTGCACAAACTTATTGAGAATTCGCTATATAACGTTTCAATGGTTTGTTTATTTAAACCAAATTAATGTACATAATAAGTGTGATAGAGATGAAACGGTCTCATTTTAAAATAAAATTGTTGTAAGTAATACGGACATTTTTATTTTTTTATCTCCCCTACCTTATCGTACTCCCGTAGAGTCGGCACACCGGGTTTTCGTATTCGAAATATCTCATTCGTCATCTCAGTCATCACTCCCTTCTTGATCATGTCACCTTTCACGCAATACGCAATCTATCTGTTTTCTAGGTCGGTCTGCCTCTACCGAAGTACCTCCTAACTCGTAACTAATGTCCTTGTTACATGAAATTCATCCTTCATAAAAAAAAAATATTTTAAACATAATGAATTATCCTAATGCGAAAGTTTAGATGGATGGATGAATGTTTGTTAGAGTTTGTAGCCTAAACGGCCCAACGGATCTGAATGAAATTTAGCGTAGATATAGAACATAGACTGGAAAAACACATGGGCTACCATCTCTTGTTTTTTTTTTTATTTTAATTTCACACGGACGGAGTTGCGGACAAAAGCAACCTTTTACTGTTATATTCCATACTTTTTATAAACAAAATACTGGCAGATAGTGAGTAATAAAATTCAGGATCGAACGAAATTTAAATTTAAGTCATGCTGTCAATAAGATTGTCAATTTTGTAATGTGTCTTGTCACAAAACTTTTAGAATGCGTACTTTCTTTATATTATCATTGATTTTCTATTTATTAGAGGTATTGTCTGCTAAACCATTGTCTTTAGTTGCAGGACAAACCAGGTATGTAAAAAGTAATAAATTACCAATGACTATCTTCATATGCAGACGACAATTCGTACGCATATGAAGATAGTCATTATACATATATACATATACTCTCATATAACATGTTTTAGAACTAACGGACTTAAAATAATATAACTGTAAAGAATTTAATTTCCATACTGTCCCATGTAGTGAAAATTCACTCCAAAAAATGGATAAAATGACATTTTGTTTTATAATGATTGAAGGGAGACAGGAGAAGCAGAGTACGAGGGAAATGAAGAAACCGCGGCCGAGGATTACCAACAAGATTCTGACCAAGATTCTTCAGTCGATACTCAAGTAAATACATTTCTTGTTTGCTATAGAAACTAGCATAGTTTACTAAAACTAAACTAAAACAATCATCGTTACAGGAAGGAGCCAACAACAATGGACGACGAGAAGCCGTCCAAGATAATTCACATTTGCCAGATCTAAATAACCCATACAAGCAACACACCAACAATTTGCAACGGGGACATTTAAACAATTTTGACAATGTAATTATTGCTTTTAGAATATCAGTATGTTGTATATTCTTCTTGATCATATCAAAATGTTTTTATAAAGTTTCCAGAAATATCCGGAATAAGCAGGGATGCTCGAAATGACAAAACTTCGAGTACAAATGTAGATTCTAACGGCAAGCCTAATGGGAGATATCGGCAGCCGGATACGTACGCTGAGAACAATGAACAAGAAGCCAGACAACATTTTAATGAAAACGCCTTTAAAATGAATCACGCACAAAATTTAGGTTTTGATAACAATATTAATAAAAGAGCCATGCTTCCTCCAGGTGCTAGTGATGAAGGTGATCTGCTGTTCGAAAATAACAGGGACCAATTAAATAAACTAGACAAAAGCGGGTACGCAAGAGAAGGTGAGTCAGGATTGCAGCCACGTTTCTTCAAACACCAAACCTACAATATACCTGGAGAGAGTAAGGAAACGCCGGATTTTAAAAGATATGATAAGTGGCGCTTAAATCGCAACAGACGTCAAACACCAAAGAATAATTTGAAAACAAATGATGAAGTAAATGAATCGACCCCCGCTGTGGATAGTAAAGAATTAGACTTGGTCAATGAAGACGAGGAGTCTGCTATAAAACGACATGTCAAAAAATTGTCGGGACCGGAACTAGAAGAGCTTTTCAATACGCTTTCTGATGACAAAAGAAATCTACTTAAAAAGATTATAGACAATGATTCTGATAATGATGACACGGTAAGTAAACGTGAAATAACAAAAAAAGCTGGAGCAGTTGAACAAAACAGTTACATAGAGAACGGACAGTTGGATTCCAGCAAAATTCAAGGGGTAAGTTCAAATGTTGAAGAGAGTAACACAGAAACGTCCTTATCCCATGAGACAACCGAGACAAGTAAAAAATCTGTAAGTGCCACCGAATTGGGGGAAATAATGCCTTCTAAGAGTTCTGGTGGATGTGATAAATCTGAAAATAAACTAGACCTAGCAAATCCAAACGAAGATCTTAAAGAAGTTAAATCTGAGGGTAATTTAGATTTAGAGTCAAAAAAAAGTGATACCGATGTCGACCTAGAATCTAATTCCCAAATAATGTCAAAAAATGAAAATAAGCGCGAAGCCAACATAAACGAAATGACAAATATGGAAAAATCAGATGATACACAAATTGTAGACAGGGATTATAGTCTTAAAGATTTTCAGGGTTCTATGAATAATCAAGATATGTTCTTGCAAGATGATGAATTAACAGATTTGATTAACGACGAGACTGAACGACAAACTTCACACAAAAATGGTTTAAAACGAGAAGCACCTCAAGATGAATCTGTTGACTTAGCAGAATCTATTAAATCCCTAGAAGAGTCATTCCCAAATCCCAAATCGTATGATGAATCAAATCCTTTCTATGGATCAGATATGGCCCCTTTAGTGAGAGTCAAAAGAAAAGATGCAGATTCCGCAATAATGAAAAGATCAGCAAGTGTAATAGCAGATTCCAACGTGCCATATTTTCCCAACAAAGGCGAGAATGATGATGAGGACAATGACGAAGGAAGTGAATTCGACGAAGATGGATTTTATGACAGAACATCTAATTTTGCAAGGAATAATGATAATAAACCTTTTGACATTCCCTGTGCAAAAGAAGACGACAGAGTATTTAATCAAAAATCTGGCCATACTTATGGTGGTGACAACTTGGAGAGCGACACTGCAAATCTCGGCTCTGACACGGACAACGCGATGACGGGCGCGGAGGGCATCAACGACAACCTGATGTACAGCGCGTTACGAGACAGGCGCACTTCGGAGGAGAATGATAACAACAAAATATTGGATGACAAAGTTAAAGATATCTCACCGGAACGTCGCTTGCGGTCAACGCCGTTGATGGATAATCAAGCTAAAACAGTCTCTGAGACTAACATAAATGTACCAGTTCCGGGTTATCAAGAAAATGATGCTTTCGGACCTCTGCCGCGGAGCTACGAAGGAGATTTGGGTAGGTATAAAAGAATTCGGCGCGTGAAGCAAATGCCGATGTTTCAAGATAATCTTACCCAAACTGAATAACTCTTAGTGCTTACGTAATAATATACGGTCTACTTATGATAATTTTTAAGAATTTCGGAATTGTTTCTTAAATAATGAATAACAGCTTTAGTTTATACTTACATTTACTTTGTTTTGTATGTTTATAAGTTTCAAGTATTTCGTTTAACTTGCTTAAATTATACCTATTAATTAAAGTTTTTTTTTGTTATTTAATTGAATTGCACCAGCTGACCCTTTCAAATCAAATTATATGACTGTTTGCCAGATTTAGGTCGTTATAAATTAAAACAACTTTTAATATTTTATAAAATTTTATTACATGGCAAAGATAAATAGAATATAACAGTGTTACAGTAACATTATATTGCGCTCTAAGCTATAACATAGATATCAAATAAAAATGTAAAGACTAGCAATGTTAGATTGCATTTTATTAATGAAAATAGCTGTCTTAGTTAAATAAGTTTTAAAATATAAAAGCGAAACCGAAAAGGAATGCAATAATAAGACTCTTGTCGAGTAGATACATAAATATTATGGAGTTAATGAGTTACTTTTGAGGCATAAAACTTATGTTCGCGCGAGTCGCGTGTGTGTTTGAAGGGCGTA